CCAAATCCACAAAACCAGCCTGAAAATAAAGGAAATCTGAAACCATTGCATTAGAGTCAATGGAGCACAGCCGTGTTGTTGTCGGACCCTGGTCTTTACCAGCCTGACGCTATGTTATGATTGGCCAGTCTGCGTCCGGGGTTGGGACTTAGCAAAGGGTCAATTGTGTCTACAGTTGTGTGGGAATGTTGTACACACATCACCTGTACACAAAAAAAGGAGGCGTGACTCTATCAGCAAACAGCATGGTGGAAAGTATGGGTGTAGGATAAGTTCCAAGAACAGTGCTGGGCTTTGAACACAATTTTACATAGTGGCCAAACAGTGGAATTCCTACTTCTGTGACATGATGCTATGGGGCCAAAAATACTTTTTTCTATAGACCTACATTGGGAAAGAAATATCTGTATATCAGTATTTTTTTGAGCATCACTTTCCTCACAAAATGTGTCAGAATTCCACCCATTTGGTCTGATAACATTTTGAAAGTGATGCCTAAATGATTTTCATCCTTATTCAAGTTAGTGAAGTACTAAACCAGAAGTTAGCTGCTCAGCCAGCCTTAGCCACTCCGCAGGTGGAAGTCTCGAGCCCCACGATGCAAAAGACTGGTTTAAATTCATACTGCTTAAACCAGCTTTTTTTGGCTTAATGCGCCATTGAGCAGCTTTCATTGTAATGAACGGGGCCCCGCCTTCACCGTGCATCCTGTTCTCTTTATATATCTATGGTGTAGGATGGTAGAGAGATGTTTATGTTTACCTGCAATCTGGGTTCAATCCCTTAATCAGATTAAACAGATTTCTACTTCAAGACAAACAAACAGCAACAAGCTTTAAATGTATGTAAAATATACGTTTATCAGGTTATATTTCAACTGGTGTCTTTGCAATCAACTGCATAAATCTGTCAGGAACAGAACAATGTGGGCCCTTTGGAGTCAACTCTCTCATTTTGATCACAGTCTTTTTTCCCAAACTTAAATTTTATTTTAGTTGCATGTCCTTACCCAATTTTATTCCAACGTTATTTAAAAAGTTGTTTTACTGGCCATTTTGTTCGTTTTTAATGTGTGAATTTAAGAAAACTGAGCATCTAAATCTTTCCATTGTCACGTTATTCATTTTGTTGTGGATAAATGCAACAAAACAGACAGTTTAAGTGTTTAAGTGCACTTAAACTTTAATCACCCATGTTTTATTAGCAATGCTTTGATCAGAGCCAAATCTTGATCAAGTCTTTGCATGTTGTCCTCACCCTCGCCTCCCCTCGCCTCGCCTCTGTTTTTCTCTTTCCACGAAATCATCTACATACATAAATGAACCTGAAACGTCAGCACAGACCCAGCGAACCCTCTCAGCTGCAGTGAGCACCCACAGTGAAGGAGCAAGGGGCTGGAATGCAGATGCAGCTGGCTCTCAGCTGGTGAATCCATCCAGTAAACAATAACAGAGAGAGAAGATGCATACAGTAGGTCTACATACAACAGTGTGGTGTCCGCACGATTTCTCTAAGCAGTGGGCACATGTGTGTGAACTTTCTGCTCAAGGTCCAAACTTGAACTAAATAAAGACGGTGTCTAATCAAACTGGAGATAGGAATGTGCAAGTGCTGGTCAATGTCCTTGTGAAGTTGACTCAAGCATATTCTTTTTTTTTTAAGATATTTTTGGGGCATTTTTTGCCTTTAATTGATAGGATAGCTAAGTGTGAAGAGGGGAGAGAGAGGGGGAGTGACATGCAGCAGAGGGCCACAGGCTGGAGTCAAACCTGGGCCGCTGCGGCAACAGCCTTGTACATGGGGTGCCTGCTCTACCCACTAAGCCACCGACACCCCAGCATATTCATCTTTTTAAATAAAATTCTGCATGAATGGAGAAATTTATCAAATTATCATTTTTTATTAAAGTCATAAAACAATGTAGGAAAAGTGCTCTGAATAATAATCACAAATGTTACTATTTCCCTAAGTAGCAGGGAATACAGTCCATGTTTCCCATTACTGGAGAAGTATGAATTCTAATGTCCAATCATTTCTGAAGGCTCTTTGTTTCTCGCCTCTGTTGTTGGACTGTTTCTTTCTCGACAGACAGGCATACCCACTGTGTTACCATAGAGACAGCAATGGAAACCCACACAGCTGGAATTAAGAACAGATTCTCCGAAAAATAAGGGCCGATTGTCATTTAAACTGACGTTTCTCATAAAAAAGTGCCTGGCGCAAAAACTCTGAAGGAAGAATCAAATGGCAGTTCTGTGAAATGAACTCCAGCATAAATCAAACCCAGTGATGCGGCGTCATGCCACTGCCTACGCAAAGATTTGCAGGACAAATAATGCACACTTTTTAAGTTATTTATTTAATATATCAACATGTTTTATGGTTTATTTAAGATAACATTATTTTGTCAATTTTTTTTTACATTTCCTTCCTCCTTTCTCCCATTTTGAAACAGCTGCTAACTCCTCTGTTGGAAATAGAAAGTCAGCCAAGTGACTCGTAGTGTATGATCAACATTCTGCTTCTTTTTTCACCTGCCATCCGCTATCTGCCCCAGATATCTAATTTACTCTGCAAGACATCGTTACCAACCACATGGAGGCACTAGCCCCGCAAAAACTTTAACTGCTGCCTTGCACATGTATGCCTCTGCGCACCAGTCAAGTTGCATTTACAGTTTACATCCATGTCTGTAAAAACGTGGAGGCTTCATACAGATTTTCAACTAGGGCTGTCAAAATTGCTCAAAAATGACGTTCCAATATTCCTTCTAAAAATAACTCATAGGTTCGAACCATTCAAATTTTTTTTTCTTCGCATTATGTCCACAAAAGGGCACACTAATACAAGGAAACATACTTATATATGTATTAATACAAGGAAACATAACTACTTATAGGTATTTTTATTTCAACATAAACGTCTTTGAAAACATTTACATACCTACACATTAAAACACATAAAACAATTATATATAACATTAAGTTATAAAAGAAGGCGGACCTCTCGCTCGCCCAACCTTTCTGACCCGTCAGGCCACGCCGCCCACGGAAGCGCTGCAAATAGCCTTGAAGCGCCGAGAAGCGAAGCCAGTTTCCTTTTGGCGCCCATGTTAACCGATTGTGTCATCCACACCGGCTGCGCCGCGCCACGTAGCTCAGTGGCCGCTCCCACCTCCCACTCACAAAGAGGACAGCTGCGGGGGTGGGGTTTTTTCCCCCTCCACAATCGATTATCAATTTTCACATTCGAAGGTCCATTTTTTTTTCAAATTCGAATTTAAATTCGAATTTAGAATATTCGTTGACAGCCCTATTTTCAACCCGTCAGCGCAGGGGATCTTTATAATCAGCACAGTTTCAAGGTGGACACCCAAGATTAGTGTCACAAATTCAGTATCAAACTAAGTGTCTCCCCTGAGATATGACATTGAATAATGGCCAGTAAAGTGTTTTTGCAGAACATTATGATGTCACAGTGAAGTTGACCTTTGACCTTTTGGATATAAAATGTCATCACTTCATATTTTATCCTATTAGACATCCCATCAAATTTTGACATGGTTAGTGTGTGAATTCTTAAGTTTTGGCCACAACACACATTTTGTGAGGTCATGGTGACCTTGACCTTTGATCTTCGACTACCAAATACAATGAGTCCAGGGGACGTTTGTGCCAAATTTGAGGAAATTCCCTCAAGGTGTTCTCGATATTGTGTTCACGAGTATGAGACGGATGAGGTCACAGTGACATCGTCCTTTCACCTGTGACCACCAAATTCAATTCAGTATCACTGAGTCCAACTGAACGTTTTGTGCCAAATTAGAAGAAATTCCCTACTGCTGTTCTTGAGATATCACGTTCATGAGAATCAGAAGGACGCAAGGTCACAGTAGCCTTTGCCTATGATCTTCGACCCCCAAAATCTAATCAGTTCATCCTTGA